GAGTGAAGTCTTTGTGTCTTGTTGCATTTTATTTTGAGATATGAGACAATGTTTGTGAATAACCTTGTTTCCAAATCAAGTTTCAGACAAACCCACCAAAGAGAAGATGGTCTGATCTGAAATCTCTTAGAATAATGACTTAGCCGCATCGACAACAGCTTCAACGGTGATACCAAACTCCTTGTAGAGTAAAGGTGCTGGTGCGCTAGCCCCGAACGAATTAATACCAATGGACTTTCCTTTGCCTCCAACAATCTTTCCCCATCCGAATGTCGAAGCTGCTTCGATACTAACTCTAGCTGATACATCAGATGGCAAAACACTCTCCTTGTATGCATCTGATTGCTCGTCAAAGAGTTCCCAGCATACGAAAGAAACAACTCTAACGGTTTTGCCTTCTTTCCTAATCACCTCAGCAGCTTGTGCAGCAATCTCTAGCTCAGATCCAGTTCCAATCAAGATCACATCGGGTTTATTACCAGAAGAGTTGTCAGAAATTGTGTATCCACCCTTCTCGACGCCTTCAATGGATGTACCTGGAAGTTGAGGAAGCTTTTGTCTAGACAGAGCTAAGATAGATGGGGTCTTGCGTTTGGTGACAGCGATCTTGTATGCACCGGCTGTTTCATTTCCATCAGCAGGACGGAACATCAGAGTGTTGGGCATTGCACGGAAACTGGCAATGTGCTCAATGGGCTGATGGGTTGGTCCATCCTCTCCAAGACCAATAGAGTCATGGGTCATAACATAGATAACACCAGCTTCAGACAAAGCCGAGATTCGCATCGCACCTCTCATGTAGTCAGTGAACACAAAGAAAGTTGCACAGTAAGGGATAAGACCAGGGCTGTGAAGGGCAATGCCGTTGCAGATGGCCCCCATTCCGTGCTCCCTAACACCAAACCTAAGATTTCTTTCTTCAGGTGTGGCCTTTTGGAAGTCGCCAAATGCTTTCAGCAATGTCATGTTGGAAGATGCAAGGTCAGCACTTCCACCAAGGAAACCGGGAACAACTTTAGCAAGTGCGTTAAGACATTGCTGTGACAGGTTTCTGGTGGCATCACCTGGAGACTCTGGTGTGTATGTCTAAAAATGGAAAAAGGAAGATGTTATTTAAACCCATATCAAGAATACCAATCGGATTGTACAGAGTACAAAGAGAGTTCTACTTACAGGTAGAGCCTTCTCCCAGCCAGCAGGTAATTCACCAGTGATAATAGATTTCAACTCTGCAGCTTCCTCTGGGTACTTCTTTTCATACGCTGCAAACTTTGCTGTCCAGTCAGTTTCAAGAGCAGCGCCTTCAGGTGTATGACGGCTCCAGTGGCTAGAAAATTGCAAAGCAGACAGTGAGCCATCAAAGCAGATTCCATAGCACAAAAGTAAACAGACATCTTTGCTTCAATTTACTTACCTCTTAACTTCATCAGGTACCTGGAATGGCGCATATGGCCATCCAAGGTTATTTCTGGTAGCTTCAACTTCCTTCTCGCCAAGTGCAGCTCCGTGGACACTGTATGAGTTTGCCTTGTTGGGAGACCCATAACCAATTGTAGTAGTGACCTGCATATTCATTGGGATACAGGAAAAATGGTAAATCAATATCAAAGGTCTTTAAACCAAATACAGTTAAGAGATTGTGTAGTTACCTTGATCAATGTAGGCTTGTCGGTAACAGCTTTAGCTTCCTTAATGGCAGCACGGATCTCGTCATACCCAGTATTTCCATTCTTCACCCAGATAACATGCCATCCAAGGGCTTCGAAACGCTGGTCCACGTTCTCAGTGAATGCAATTTCTGTGTCTCCATCGATGGAAATGTGATTGTCATCGTAGAAAGCAATGAGCTTTCCAAGTCCCCAATGGCCAGCTAGAGAGCAAGCTTCATTTGAAATACCCTCCATCTGACAACCATCTCCAAGGATCGCATATCTAAACAATCAATCAAAAACAGTATTTCAAATATCAGAGCTACATACAATCCAAGAATGATGACATAAGTATGGACATATATTACGTGTAGTGGTCGACAACTTCAGCATCGGGTTTGTTGAATCTAGCAGCCAAGTGCTTCTCAGCAAGAGCTAAACCAACAGCATTCGCAATTCCTTGTCCAAGAGGACCTGCATAGCAACCAAAGCAGACAGAGCACAATTGTAAACACAGATACACAAAGCTACTGTTGTTTACATGAACCATAAACCAAAGAAACAAAATTTCAAACCAGTAGTGACTTCAATTCCAGGAGTTTCGAAATTCTCAGGATGTCCTGGTGTCTTGCTTCCCAATTGACGGAAGTTCTTCAAATCTTCCTCCTAATAAACAAACCCATCCAGAAGAACATCAAAACAGATTGAATCTACGAAATTTTCACAGGTAAATCATCCACTAGAGTTACTACATTCTTCAACTATGATCAGATCAGTAAGCTAAAGAAGAGATCACGGACCTGGACACTGTCGTAGCCAGCAAGATGAAGCAACGCGTAAAGCAACATACATCCATGTCCAGCAGATAGAACGAATCGGTCACGGTTAAACCAGTAAGGGTTCTTGGGGTTATACCTCATGACTTCATCATACAAAATGTGAGCCATCGGAGCACAACCCATAGGAAGACCAGGATGACCAGATTTCGCCTTCTCAACCGCATCAATAGCCAAAAACCTAATCGAGTTGACCGATTTGTCAACAATAGACGAATCAGTAGTCGGCTCGACTGTCTCAACAGCTGTAGCACGAACGAGAGGACGTAGAGATCGGATTTTGCTCATGGATGCAGCGTTACGTCTACGAGACGAAGCCGAGGAGGCTCGTGAGGCGGTGGATTTGAGTCCAGAGAAAGCTGGTAAGGAAACACCACGCTGGTCAGAGCCATGGT